AGTCGTGGGGCCTGAACTCTGGGCCTGGGCGCTGTCCCTCAGCTCTTCAGCTCAAGGCTAGCGCTCTACCACTTGAGCCATAGCGCCACTTCCGGCTTTTTTCTTTTTGCTTATGTGGTGCTGAGGTGCCTCATGCATGCAAGGCAAGCGCTCTACCACTGAGCCACCTTCCCAGCCCCCTGTACAGTATTTTCACAAAAAAAACACAAAACAAAAAACTAAATATGGACTTTTTAATTAGACAGGAAGGAAGAGTAATAGAAGAAGTGAGATTGATTGAAATACATTGTATACATGTATGGAAATGTTATAATGAACACCACCACCTCCAATAGAGCAAATATATGCTAATAAAATCACTAATTGATTATTTAAAAAAAAAAAAAGGAAGGAAAGGAAGGAGGTGGGTATTAATGGCTCATGCCTCTAATCCTAGCTACCCAGGAGGCTGAGATCTGAGGATTGCAGTTTGAATTCGGCAGAAGAATCTGTGAAACTCTTATCTCCAATTAAGAACCAAAAGGCAGAAGTAGAGCTGTAGCTCAAATGGTAGAGTGCCAACCCTAAGCTAAAAAGCTAAGGGGGCAGCACTCAGGCACCTAGGCCCAGAGTTCAAACACCAGTACTGGCACCAAAAAAAAAGTGTGGGGGGGGAGAGAGAGAGAGATGACAAATACTAATCCATATCGCTCTCATGTGTATTGCATAAGACAGTACTGAGCCAAGGTAAATAGACTCAAGGGTGGAATTTTTCTAATGAAAATCATTGCCTTAGCTGGGCGCTGGTGGCTCAAGCCTGTAAATCCTAGCTACTCAGGAGGCTGAGATCTGAGGATCGCAGTTCAAAGCCAGCCCGGGCAGGAAAGTCCATGAAACTCTTATCTCCAATAAACTACCAGAAAACTGGAAGTAGTGCTGTAGCTCAAGTGGTAGAGCACTAGCCTTGAACTGAAGAGCTGAGGGACAGAGCTCAGGGCCAGAGTTCAAGGCCCATGACTGACAAAAAAAAAGAAAAAAGAAAATTATTGCTTTAATAAATTGGTAGAAAGTCTTTTCACATAGCTCAAGACTAACTTAAACTATGATATGTAGAATTTAAACCAAACCTTAAAGGCAGTGTATACTTTGACTAATAAGTAAGAGTAGTAAACCTTCAAGACAAAAATCTGGCCACTGATAGCTTCTAAGAGTATTTCTAAACCACAAGAGCCTAAGAAAGATCAGTACTGAAAGCAAGAGTTGGCCAAAGTTCATGCATATGGTAAGTCTGCACATTGCTCAGGGTCAAGACATACACTGTCAAAATAGGGAAGTATAGTTGTTCTTTATTTCTTTTCTACTTTTTGAAAATGACTTTTTCTCATCTGCTTTATAGTGATAATATTGACATAAAGGAATCACTGCAGACTAAAACCTGACTGTATATATCACTATGTGTGTATCTTGTCATCCACTTCTGCCCTGATAGTTCTTCCATATTTACTTTCATGGAAAACTCTATTTTATTACACAGACTATAAAGTAAATGTATGGTGCCCAAGAAAATGCCAGGTAGGGAAGTGGTGCTGTGGCTCAAGTGGTAGAGCATCGCCTTGTGCTGAAGAGCTTAGAAACAGGCCCAGAGTTCAAGCTCCATGACTGACCAAAAAAAGAAAATGCTAGGTAGCATTCAGTTAGATTTGATTCTCACTGGAAAGTACTTTGGAAAAATAATACACCTGTATCACTTAATCCTACCTGTAGATTCTATAAATATCTTCTGAGCGTCCTTTCCTTAGTCTGAGGATCCAAGCTCCTGGGTTGGCTTTTAGCTGAAAGTAGCCCTAGGACATGAAGGAGAATCAAATTTTAGTTCTCTCTTTAAACTATCTGAAGGATAGTTACATTCTGAAAATGCAATGCAAGGGTTTTTTTTTTAATGTCCCTGATCCCATTTTTGAGGTAGTGCTGGAATTGAACCCGGGGCCTTGCATCTGATAATTTAAATAAGATGATTAAATAACCAAGGCAATGCAAAAACAACATCTTTATGGCAGCACATTTTGTCATTTAAGTTGTTGTATAATTTCAATCTCCATGTTGAATCAAACAAATGGTTTTTATACTGACCAAATTAAATTATAAATTTTAATTTCAATTGTGATTCAGAATACTAATTATTCCACCATAAATTTTTGTGCCCAAATTAGCACATCTGTGGTATCAGCATGTAATGAACTGGTTATTTACCAGGTTGGCCATGACAATTGTGTCCACAATGACAGGGTTGGCTGACGTCCCTAATGTAAACTGCAGTCCACGTGGGGGTTGGCCTGTGGTGATGTCATAGCAATGACCTTCCAATAATAAGTACTCGAGCTCATACTCAGCAGCTACTATGTTGTCCACCTGCAAGAGCAACATTAAATCACTTCAAGACACATGGATAGAATTCAAAATACATTATTCCAAGTGAATGAAGCAGACAAAAAGGTCTTACATACTATCTGATTATATTTTAGGAAATTAAAGGTTACAACTGTAATAATAGACAGCTCATTGACTGTGGTCGGGTGAGGAGATGGCTTGAAAAGAGCTTCAAAAAACTTTGGGGGGGGGGGGAGACGGTGGCTCACGCCTGTAATCCTAGCTACTCAGGAGGCTGAGATCTGAGGATCGAGGTTCAAAGCCAACCTGGGCAGGAAAGACCGTGAGACTCCTTTCTCCAATAAACCACTAGAAAACCAGAAGTGGTGGTGTAGCTCAAGTGGTAGAGCACTTGCCTTGAGCTGAAGAGCTGAGAGACAGAGCCCAAGCCCAGAGTTCAAGCCCCATAACAGACAAAAAAAAAAAAAAAACTTTTTGAGAATGATGGGATTTTCTCTCTTGACTGAATGGCTGCATGTGATCATAAACACTGGGTTGAAAGGAGAAAAGGCAGTAGATTAGTCTAAAAGTACAGGTGGGATAACACTTTCATATTGTTGAGAAAAATTAAGGACCTAAATAAATAGATACCATCCTATAGCAACAGATCAGTATGAAAATTTGAAAACAACATCCACAGCAACATTCCTCAGAATTGCCACAAAATAGAAACAACCTGAATATCCACTCATTAGCAGACCCATAAAAGGTCCAGAGTTGCAATACAATGGAATATTAACTGACAACAAGAAAGAATGAAATACTGACACATACTTCAACAGGGATCAACCTTGAAAAACAATTTGTTAAGAAAAAGAAACCAGTCACTAAAGACTATGACTCTGGGCTGGGAAGGTGGCTCAGTGGTAGAGTGCTTGCCTTGCATACATGAGGCCCTGGGTTTGATTCCTCATCACCACATAAAGCAGAAAAAGCTGGAAGTGGTGCTGTGGCTCAAGTGGTAGAGCACCAGCCTCGAGCTGAAGAGATGAGAGACAGCGCCCAGGCCGAGAGTTCAGGCCCCACAACCGACAAAAAAAAAAAACCCTATGATTCTATCTACATATAATACCACAACAGGCCAAACTACAGAAACAGAAAGCAGATTAGAACATGTATAATGGGGAGTGATTACTAATGAGGATGGAGCTGAGTCTTATGGTGATAAAGGACTAAAATTAGATCCCTATGACAGCTACAGAGTTCTGTCAATATGTCAAATCCTCTTTATTGGGTATGAATAAAGATGTAATATATACCTGAACAATGGTGTTCAGAATCAGCTAACATCACAACATAAATTGGTTTTCTACCAATAATTAGGTACTGGAATGACATTCTTACCTCTTCTAAATAAATATTATCAAGATCATACGGTGTTCTGACAGATTCTACCATCCAACTTTCAGGTGTGTTCAAATTCAGAGTGAACAATGGAGATTGTGGCATATCCAAAAATTTTGCTATTGGACCCTTAGCAATCTTATTGTCTGAGGTGAAAGAAATCTCTGGTTCTAAGACATAACGGTAAAAGCTGAAACAAAAGGAGAAGTATACAATTTTTATCTTTCCACAAAATTACTGTCCTTGAGTTTATAAGCATCCATATAGGTGAGCAACAAACTGGGCTTGGAGGGATATCCTCCTAGATTGAAAAAGGAGTTCACAAGATCATCTTCTGGCCTAGTGATGCCTCCCAGTGCTGATGCAGATGAAAGAGAAGGGTAGGATACCAGAATGAGATGTCTGCTGTTGGGGTCACAAGCACTTCCTGAGCACTTTTTCCTTTGGAAATTCATCTGTCTCTCAAAAATCTAAATCCTACATAATGACTTGGCTCTCAGGCTAGCCCTGAAAACACTGCATATAATAATGTAAACATTTCTTCAAACAGGATAATAGTAGGCACTGAAATCTCATTGGTCACTTGCAAATTTAATCTATTTAGTATAACTGACAGGACACAGCAAACCTACAAGTGAGGAACTGATCAAAGCCATCTATGCTACTCTATACTACCTCTATTATTATTACCATGCTACTTCTGCCATGAAGGATCCATTCCCAAGTTTAGGCCTATGCACTTTTGTAAGATCATGTTAATGAGCATAAGCTATCTTCCTCTAACATACGTATTGCAACTTGAAATAACCACTGTTTGGGTTTTTTTTTTTAAATGGAAAGTATATATGTAAGTAGCCTAGGTTGATTCCACCTAGATGCTCCTGTGTCCACACAATGTTTGTTAAGCTGATTAGAGTAACATTCACTAATTCATTATCATCAGTACTAGCTTTTGGATTAGATGCCATTTTAAAAAATTGTTTCCTTAGATACAATATATGCTTTACCTTTTTAAAGGCATGTCCGAAAGTTTAGATTGGCAGTTCATAAATACTCTTAGATTCATGTTTATCAGCTGAGTCAAAACCTAAAAGAACAAACCAGATGAAAAATCATTCATATTTTCTCTTCAAAAATATACTATTTGATACTGAATAAGAGAAAGAATGTTCATTATCTCAAGAAACAATATAAAGATAGTAACTGTCACTAAGTGGACACTAGCAAAATTAATGGTGTGGCAAAAACAAGGCAGGAGAGGAGGCTATGAGGGAAGTAGACTAGTGAAGATAAATACTTCTCACATAAAGACAGGTTAATATAGATTTGCAGGAAGATAAATGATGAATATCTATACATAGAATATTTAAGAACTCACTGTTATAATTCATAAATAAAAGTCTGTTAAAACATCACTACAGGGGCTGGGAAGGTGGCTCAGTGGTAGAGCGCTTGCCTTGCATGCTTGAGGCCCTGGGTTCGATTCCTCAGCACCACATAAGCAAAAAGAAAAAAGCCGGAAGTGGTGCTGTGGCTCAAGTGGTAGAGCGCTAGCCTGGAGCTGAAGAGCTGAGGGACAGTGCCCAGGCCCAGAGGTCAAGCCCCACGACCAGACCAAAAAAAAAAAAAAAATCACTACAAACACAAAAAAGGTTAGATCATATATATTAGTAAAATGTCTCCTTAAAAAAAAGAAACTCAGCTAGAATTGGCATGGTAGCTCATGTTTATAATCCTATTTGGGAAGCAGATACCAATAGCTGGAAAGTAGTGATGTGTGCCTGTCATCCCAGTTATATGGAGAGTATAAACAGAATTGAGATATGCATCAGCATAGGCATAAATGTGAGACTACCCCAGAAATAGCTAAACCAAAAAGGTATTGGGGCCTGGCTCAAGTGGGATAGCACTAGCCGGGCGCCAGTGGCTCACGCCTGTAATCCTAGCTACTAAGGAGACTGAGATCTGAGGATCTTGGTTCAAAGCTAGCCTGGGCAGGAAAGTTCCTGAAAGTCTTATCTCCAATAAACCACTAGAAAACCGGAAGTGGCGCTGTGGCTCAAGTGGTAGAGCGCTTACCTGGAGCTGAAGAGATCAGGGACAGCGCCCAAGCCCAGAGTTCAAGCCCCATGACCGACAAAAAAAAAAAAAAAAGTGGAATAGCACCTGTCTAGCAAGCACGGGTCCCCAAGTTCAACCCCTGCTACCACTAAAAATAAAAAATAAATGCAACTAGAGTCACATTAGGTGGTACATATGTGTAACCCTAGCATTTAGGAGGCTGAGGCAGGAGGACTATTGAGTGCAAGGTAAGCATTGGCTACACAATGAGATGCTCTCCTAAAATAACAAAAACAAAAACAAATCTCTAACAAAAAAAAAAACTCAAACCAGGAGGAAAAACGAAGCTCAGTGGTATAGCCCCTGCTTAGAATGTACAAAGCACTGGGCTCAATTGCTAACACAGACTTAATAGAGTGACTGTTTTGGTTAGAGTTCTTGTAAACGGACATAAGATTATCTTTTTTTTTCTTTTCGTCAGTCATGAGGCTTGTACTCAGTGCCTGTCCACTGTCCCTGAGCTCTTTTGCTCAAGGCTAGTACTCTACCACGTTATGCCTTAGCACCACTTCCAGTTTTTGAGTGGTTAATTAGAGATAAGAGTCTCATGGGGACTTTCCTGCCAAGGCTGGTTTACAACTGCGCCTCTCAGATCTCAGCCTCCTAGGTAGCAAGGATTACAGGTGTGAGCCACTGTGCCCAGCAGAAATTATATCTTATAACAAAACTAAAAGACATGCTACAGTAAAAGTCCATGATAGTTATAAAAAAGGAAAGTAAAATTAGAATTAAACTTTTACCCTTTTTAACTTCTATCATTATAAAATATAATGCAGTATAAATTAACTTATGTCAATCATTTTTTAAACTTATATAAAGTAGCCAGCAAAACTCAATCAAGTTGGTTTTAGAGCCATTGTCAGTCTTTATGGCTCTGCCCCAAATGTCCTGCAGCATTTCCCAATGCCTCTAGAAGGTGAATATGATACAAATAGAGCATAAAGGAAATCACAGGACACGTGGCAGTGTGAACTGCCTCTGAAGCAGTCCCTACCAAGAGCAACGGGGCAAGTCTCTGTGCTTCTCTGGTGACAGGGTCAATGACAGCCACAACATCAAAGTATGTTTCTCCTTCCTTGGGTCTCAGCTTAATTGCGCTATGAAGACAAAAAGAATAAAACATTAATGTGGAGGGCACAGGAAATTAAGGTTAAGTATGGTGAATCTTTGGTTCAAATAACCTATCAGACCTCCAGGTCTCTTAACATTTCAAAAAACTTCAGATCTAAAAAACTTGGGCTTCGAGATGACAAGTTATGATTAAGTTTACAAAGATCATAAAACATTGATAACTGACTTGCTCAAAATACACTGAAAATTTTTTGTCAGAAAACCAAGCCCCACAGGTGGCTAACACCTATAATCCTAGCTATTCAGGGGGCTGAGATCCAAGAATTGGGATTCAAAAACACAACAGATAGATAAATCTGAGAAACTCTCATCTCCAATTAACCAGCAAAAAGCTAACGTGGAGGTGTGACTCAAGTGGTAGAGTACCACCCATGAGCAAAGTGAAAAAGGTAACAGCAGCTAAAAAAAACAAAAGAAATAGAGAAAATTAGCTTGAGGTTACATTTAACCAAATTGAGTATTTTCCTAATTTATTGTTTTTTGAGACAGAGTCTTGCTATATAAAGACCTGGTTAATATACAGATGAGGCTGGCCTCAACTTTATACTCGTCCTACTTCCACATTCCAAGTGTTGAAAAGATATCTATATCACCACGCCTGATATAAGTTCTTTTATTTCAAGGAAAGAAGGGGATGATGGGAGAACAAATATATCATTAAAAAAAAAAAGTTCTGAGATGCTGTTACACCTGTATTGAGAATACGCCTGAAGGAATCAACGTCAGTATATAGTAGAGATACCTGCACACATATGTTTACTGCAGCACTATGCACAATAGTAAAGTCATGGAATCAATCTAGGTGCCCATCAATAGATAAATGGTTAGAGAAGATGTAATATATTTATGTGTGTATGGATGTGTGTATGTACGTATATACATACACACACTTATCTACCCATACACCCACATACATACACATTATCTATATACAATGTAGTATTATTATTCAGTCATAAGAAAGAAATTTTGTCATTTGCAATAAAATGGATAAAACTGGAAACTAACACGTTAAATGAAATAAGCCAGACTCAGAAAGACAAATGTTTTTTCTCATATGTAAAAACTAGTTTAAGGGGCTGGGAAGGTGGCTCAGTGGTAGAGTGCTTGCCTTGCATGCATGAGGCCCTGGGTTCAATTCCTCAGCACCACATAAGCAAAAAGATAAAAGCCAGAAGTGGCACTGTGGCTCAAGTGGTAGAGCACTAGCCTTGAGCTGAAAAGCTGAGGGACAGTGCCCAGGCCCAGAGTTCAGGCCCCACGACCGGACCAAAAACGAAAACAAAAACAAAAAAGAATGTTTGCCAAGCACGCACAATGTCTTGTGTTCAAATTTCAGAACTAAAAATTAATAAAATTAAAAAAAAAAAGGTATACTGTGTAGAAATGGGAACAATAGCACTACAGTGTCTGAATATACGTGCTATATTGGTAAAAGTCCAGAATAAAGTCAAAAGTGACATGGGAACAAAACTTGAAGATTATATACTTGTACCTAGGATTAGTAAAGCAAATATCAAAATTGAGATACTGTGCTTCACCAACGTTATGTTCACAGAAATCACCAAGGGGGAACTTGTTAAGATATAGACACTGATTCAATAGGTCAGGTATAAGGTCAAAGACTACAGTTCAGGGGCTGGGAAGGTGGCTCAGTGGTAGAGTACTTGCCTTGCACTCATGAGGCCCTGGGTTCGATTCCTCAGCACCACATAAGCAGAAAAAGCCAGACGTGGGGCTGAGGCTCAAGTGCTAGAGCACTAGTCTACAGCTGAAGAGCTGAGGAACAGCAGCCAAGCTCAGAGTTTAGGCCCTATGACTGACCTCCCCTCCCCGCAAAAAAAGACTACACTTCAAACAAGCTCACAAATGATACTCTGCTGATCCATGGAATACATTGTGAAGGTAAGGGTGTAATAGAACTGATGGTTCTGTCACTTTTATTCCTAGTAAAATGAGACCTTCTGTTTTAAATATGGCAAACATTCATTTTACTAACATCATCCCAGTAAGAATTTCTCCATCATCATAGAACATGTAATTAGGGAATTTTAATGATATAAAAGTCATGGAGGCAAGGGGAGAAAACAGTGGCGTAAAATCAGACATGGATTATAGCTCAGGACCACTGTTTTGGCCATCAACTTCCTAGAAGTGGAAGAATAGAGAAAATGGGTGCTGCAAGGGTACAACCTTGGTGCTGGTAGCAAAATCCAAGAGGGGTTAGCCAGGAATCACATATGACATAAATTATTAGAAATGATGGTGATGGTGGCTCAGTGGTGAAATACTTTCTTAGCATGTATAGCATCTGGGCTCAATCACTAGCACCTGGGGGCAGAAAAAGAGAGGAAGAGAGGGAGGGAGAGACTTGCCAGGTAACTGCACAAAGTTCTTCTTAAAGACCATTTGGGACCAAGCACCAGTGGTAGTTCACACCTATAATCCTAGTTACTCAGGAGGCTGAGATCTAAGAATCACAGTACAAAGTCAGTCCAAACAGGAATGTCCCTATGAGACTCTTACCTCCTATTAACCACTTTAAAACCAGAAGTAGAGCTATGGCTCAAAGTGGTAGAGTACTAGCCTTGAGCAAACAAGCACAGAGACAGTACCTAGACCCTGAGTTCAAGACCCACAACTGACCAAAAACAAAAAAAATTATATGTATATATATAGGGGACAGGGCAACCAGTGGCTTATGTTTGTAATCCTAGCTACTCAGGAGGCTGAGATCTCAGTATCATGATTTGAAGCCAGCCCAGCAAGAAAGTCCTTGAGACTTTAATCTCCAATTAACCATCAAAAAGTTGGAAGAAGCTGTGGCTCCAGCGGTATAACTTTAGCCTTTAGCATGAAGTTTAGGGACAGCATCGAGGCACTGAGTTCAAGCCCCAGGACTAGCCCAAAAAATAAATACCATTTGGGAGAATGTATCAAGAAAATGTGGTGTATGTGGTATATACACAATGGAATTCTACTCATCCATTAGAAAAAATGATAATGTACCATTCATAAGGAAATGGAAAGACTTTGAAAAAATTATATTAACTAAGCCAGACCCAGAGAAACAGATTGTATGGTTTCCCTCATTTGTGAGTGCTAGAATGTGCCTGTAAAACTATAAGTAAGAGGCTGAGAATGTGGCTTAGTGGTAGAGTCTTGCCTAGTATGCATGAAGCCCTGGGTTCAATTCTTCAGTACCATATACATAGAAAAAGGCAGAAGTGGCACTGTGGCTCAAGTGGTAGAGTGCTGGCCTTCAGCACAGAGGCTCAGGGACAGCATCCAGGCTCTGAGTTCAACCCCAGGACTGACACAAACACACCAACACACCAACACACACACACCAACACACACACACACACACCTATAAGTAAACACTGAGTAGTAGCCAAGAAGTTATACACAAATAAGCAGAAGTATATTAGACTCTATTGAGAGTGCAAATAGTGTAATTCTTTAGAACTACTAAGTCAAAGCCCAACAAATTAAGTGACAGGAAATGGCACTTGCAAGAGGTGGGGGACCAAGGAGAGAAGGGCAGAAAAATTAATGGGGGAAGGGGGTAGAATGCAGACAAGAAAACAGACAGAAGTGAGAAAAAGCGAAGAGGTGGGTCGAAGGGGGTGATGATGTTGAAGGGATGACAAATCAAGATGCATTTTATACATACACTGCTTTGTTAAATGGCAAAAAAAATTCAATATATAACCTAAAAATTAAGAACAGTGAGGGAAGGAGTGGGTGGGAAGGGTGGGTGAGAATGTTAGGATTGACACTGATCAAGAGGCAGTGTAATCAAAAACTGCTCTGATGAATGGCAATTCCTTTGTATAACTACATATATATATATTTTTTTAAGTTAAAAAAACCCCAATCATTGGGCCTGCTGGAAACATATTATCATGTTATATTTTGCCTTCGTTCAAGTGGTAGAGAAAATGGTTTCAGTGCATGTGTGTTTATGCAACACATAAAGACTATATGTATTATCTATACACACATATATTAAGCAATAAGGCAAATACAGCATTCCACCTAGTGAATTTAAGAGTTAGCCGGGCACCAGTGGCTCAGCCTGTAATCCTAGCTACTCAGGAGGATGAGATCTGAGGATTGCTTCAAAGCCAGCCCGGGCAGGAAAGGGAGTTGCCAAACAAACTGGCTTGGGAAGCAAAGAAGGATGGAGGCTTGAGGCAACTCAGGTAAAATAGTTAGGAAGACCCTATCTTCAAAAGAACAAGCCAAGGCGGGCACCAATGGCTCATGCCTGTAATCTTAGCTACTCAGGAGGCAGAGATCTGAGGTTCATGGTTCAAAGCCAGCCCAGGCAGGAAAGTGTGAGATTCTTATCTCCAATTAATCACCAGAGAACCAGAAGTGACATTGTGGCTCAAGTGGTAGAGCACTGGTCTTGAGCTGAAGAGCTCAGGGACAGTGCCCAGGCTGAGTTCAAGCCCCACAACCAACAAGAGAGTTAATATTCAGGAGCATACACAAATTCAACATGAATTCTATACCTGTAGCTGTCTTCAAAAAACTGGTATTCAATTCTTGCATCTCCTTTGGGTTGAGCTGACAGGAGAGCATCCACCTTCATTACCAAGTCACTTGCCCTGAAAGATGGGGTTATAACAGCTTAGTATCTTTTTAATAAGGTTTTGCCATTAATAGCAGTTATCAACAGCTCAAGTGCCAAAAGCCAGAAGCACACTCCTTTATGCTAACAGGCATGAGAGAAGGGTTGATTTGGTAGTGAATGGCTTTATAATCTTGGAGATGTTATTCATTTTTCTATATGTAAAGTGTAGAAAAGATCTACTTTGCAGGGTTCTTACAAATACTGTGCTGGCTAAACATATTAGTGTTATTTACATCTCCAGCACCCTCTTTTCACTAATGCTATTACTTTTTAGGATTGTTAGGGCAATCTGTTACTGAGAAATTGTTGAGGAAAAATACTAAGAAACAAATTACCATAATTATCATTATCAAGAAATAAGTTATGACACTGTAGTTCATAATTATTCCCAACTTTTAAATTTATACATATATAATATAAAAACACAAAACTAGGGTTATATAATTTGGTTGCAAACTTTGTTACTTAAAAATATATTATAAAGCCGGGTGACCGTGGCTCACACCTGTAATCCTAGCTACTCAGGAGGCTGAGATCACGGTTCAAAGCCAGACCGGGCAAGAAAGTCCATGAGACTGTTATCTCCAATAAAACCACTAAAAAACCGGAAGTGGTGCTGTGGCTCAAGCGGTAGAATGCTCGGTAGAATGCTCACCTTGAGTTGAAGAGCACAGGGACAGCGCCCAAGCCCAGAGTTCAAGCCCCACAACCGACCAAAAAATAAAAAATATATTATAAGCCATGTGCTGGTAGCTCATGCTTGAATCCTAGCTATTCAGGAGGCTGAGATCTGAGGATTATGGTTCAGGGACAGCACAGGCAAGAAAGTCTAGGAGACTCTTAAATAACCACCATAAAGCTGGAAGTGGAACTGTGGTTCAAATAATAGAGCACTAACCTTGAACAAAAAAATTCAGGGACAGCTCCCAGGCCCTGATTTCAAGTACTAGGATTGGCATAATAAGTAAATAAACAAAATATAATATAAATATGGAATATAACAAATACATATAATTTGTTATAATCACTAATTTTAATAAGACTGCACAGTAATGGTACATTATCATGACATGGTGACAAATGCCTATAATCCTAGCTATTCATGATGCTGAGATCTGAGGATCAAAGTTCAAAGCTCGATGGGGCTGGAAAGTCAGTGAGTCTCTAATCTGCAATTAACCACCAAAAAGCTGGAAATAAAGCTGTTACAAGTGGTAGATGGCTAGCTTTGAGTGAAAAAGCTAAGGGATAGTAATCAGGTAATCAGACCTTGAGTTCCAGCCCCAGTACTGGGACCAAAAAAAAAAAAAAAGGGAAAGGGTTTAAATATATACTTTCAAATACATATTTTCCCAAAGACATATGATATATGCCTGTGAAAAGGCATACTAAGCATTGCAAAAATGAAAAGAAAACTACAAGGTGATACAACTTGATACCTATGAGTATGGCTTTTTAAAAAAACAAACAAGAAATAAAGGTGCTGGTAAGGATGTGAAGAAACTAGAAGGCTTGTGCACTCTAGGCAGATACATAAATACAAAAGCAGCTATAGAAAAAGGTATAAGAAGGTCTCAAAAAATGAAGCAGTCTACTCCAACTACATATCCATGTGATATTTAATGCAGAAAAATCAGATAATGGTCTACTTAAGCAATTTATTTTCTTCCTTCAAGAGAAACAGTCCACTATGGTACTTGAGCTAATAAAAACATTAAAAGAATGAAAAGTTTAAAAACCAACAATAGTGAACTTATCACCGTTGGAGTATGTAAGAGAAACATTGAGTATTCTGTCCTGGTAAGTAGAGGAAAAGACGCATTTAACCTGTTTCTCCTCTACTGAACCAAATAAAACTGAATTATCATTCAGATAATTGATAATTTCTCTTCAAGTAAAAAATAAATTACCCTCCTCTACTTCTACCTACGTCTGAAACTTTCCAGAACCAAAAGATAAAATACAAACTGATGGGCTGGGAAGGTGGCTCAGTGGTAGAGCGCTTGCCTTGCATGCATGAGGCCTTGGGGTCGATTCCTCAGCACCACATAAGCAAAAAGAAAAAAGCCGGAAGTGGCGCTGTGGCTCAAGTGGTAGAGCGCTAGCCTTGAGCTGAAGAGCTGAGGGACAGCACCCAGGCTCAGAGTTCAGGCCCCACGACCGGACCAAAAAAAAAAAAAAAAATACAAACTGAGAATGAATTTAGTTCTTTAAATAGCAGCCTATAAAACAAATTAGCTTCTTTCAACAGAATCATAACCAAAAATTTGAGCAGTATGGCAGTTTAAAGCTGGAAATAAAACCCCTTATATTAAGTAGTGTATGTGACAATATATAACTTGAACTTTGACCAAGGAGGAAATATCTAATATATAACATATATGATAGAAACTAGTTCATTTCTCCTACACCCAACTTACACATCTTCTTCTACCCGAAGTTGTTGAATATGAGATTTTATTTTTTGTCCTGAAGTTTTCAAGATGATACTTTCTAGAAGGTGGAAATCGTCTTGATTAAAGAGCTCACTTTCCTCCAGTGGCCCAATGATCTATGAAGAAGAACAGGAGTCAGAGCTGTAAGCAGTCTGCCAAGGGCTGAAGTTAAGGGCAAGTCTAAGCTAGCCATAGGCTACAGAACAGGCCAAAGGAACTTAAAGAATAAGAGTGATATGTGTCTAAATAAATCAATGAAAAAATAAAAAGCCTGAATCATTCAGTTATATGTTTAACTTATTATTTCCTAAGATACAGGCAGATTTACACATTTCACATTACTTTTTATAGGTAAGCAATCTGAATTAAATAGGTAGCAATGCAGTTTTCACAACTGTCCATCAAAATCAGTAACAAAGCCTACTTTCTGTGTCAAAGACTGTAATGATTTCTGTTCTGACAGTCAACACATTCTCTCAATGGTAGGACAGGACAAACAGAAGGAAGGCCCCCACAAGGGGAAAGTTATGTAAAAACACTTTTTTGGGGGGCCAGGGGGTAAATAATGGACAGAAACATCCTTAGTGAAGTAGTAATCATCTTTAAGAGGTGAGTGCTCTATTGGGAGAGTTTACCCTACCAGCTTACAGGAGCATGATGCAAAGCCTACTACAGACCTAACTCAACAAGTCCTCACCCTTCCATTGCTGATCACTGCCCTCTGCCCCTTCGTCAGCTTCAGAACATCCCTGCAGTACACGGCATGAGACAAAATGAAATCCATACTGGAAGACTCAAAGACCTCTTTAAAAACACTGAAATCCATGCCCTAGGAAAAGTAATTGTTTTTAAGGAAAAGTCACTGTTATTCAACAAACCAAAAAAATTAATAATCATCATGAACAAACCACAAATGTGCTTTTCATGAAATAACTACATTGCATGAAATGTAATTACTCATAATTACATTAACATAATTAACATTACAATTTCACAACTGTCCATCTTCTCTCCCATCCTCCTCCTCAAAAGCCAACTATTTGTATTTCTTTTTCTTAGGTTTTCATGTTACTTTTTCAATTGGCAGTCTATTCTCCATGATAATTTTATTTTGTATTTTTAAATCTTCTTTATGTCAGATGACAACTATTTTCTCTAACTGGAACTAAGTTTAAAAATAATAAAATGCTATCAAATAAGTAAAAGCCGGGCATTGGTGGCTCATGCCTGTACTCCTCAGGAGACTGAGATCTGAGGATTGCAGTTCAGAGCCAATCCAGGCAGAAAAGTCTGAGTAAGACTCTTATCTCCAATTAACTACTCAAAAATAGGAAGTGGTACTGTGGCTCAAAGTGGTAGAGCACTAGCCTTGAGCAGAGGAGCTCAGTGACAGTACCCAGGCCTTAAATTCAAGTCCCCCCATTCCCCATCCCCAACCAAAAGAAAAAAATTAAGTTAAAAGCAAAAAAAAAAAAAAAAAGAGCATGGGCTTTTACTGAAAAGATATAAAAAAATACAAGCCTCTAACTCATAAGTCACACAAAAATCAAATACTGTCTTTTAAAACTGTACAAAATAAATGGTATTGTTTTAAAACATACTTCTATCATGCATATTTTACAATAGGCAAATTTGGAAATGAAAGTGATATAATTACTTTTTAGAAAGTCTTCCAAATTTAAGAGTAAAATCCTCCATTGCTCACAAGTTCAGTTTATGAATAGGGTGCATCAGTCCAGGGGAAGAGAATATCAATGGCAAATTAACAGAAAAAGGCAGCCTTATAATACACAGTCTTACCCCCACAGAGAACTCCTCAATGTCGGCTCCAGCAGCCAGGGCCTCTGCAGTCTCCTCTTTGGCCATTTTGGTGATGAAGTTCTTTGCTGAGTTGGAAGTTTGTGTTTGGAGAGCTGCCCAGATTGCTCTGAAGATTCTAGTGTTCTCATTTCTAATCTCTTGGCTTGGATTATTGATCACGCTTATCCTAACATTGTTACTGGATTTCTATTTACAAAACAGTACATAAGAGTTATACAGTACATGTTTTGAACTTAAAAATAAGCATTAATATTATTATTCACTTTCCAAGTAGCAAATTACATGTCTCTCAATAGTTTTCTATACTTGTATAAAACTTGGATGCTACAGACAGTCATGCCTTCAAAATCCTTCTACTTATGGCCTCCTGCCATAACAGAGATCAGAGGCACTAACCACCTTGCCTGGCCTATTGATATAGATCTTGATAACTTTTGTCAGCAGTAGCCTCTAACTGCAATCTTCCCAGTCTCCACCTCTCAAGAAGCCATTTATAGGCATGAATTACCATATTTATCCAACTTCATTTCTTACCATCTTATAGATACAGTACATATCACAGAACATCTGTGCCCTATTTTTCTTCTAACACATTTGTTTTCTTCTAATACACATCATGCTAGCATGTGGACTTTAATTATATAACATCTTTTCTCCCCAACCACTCTTCAGGGTCTTGCTGAAGGCCATTTTTACTTGTACAGCCTTTGCAAATGCCTAGCAACAATGAATCTTCCCTGGATGAAAATAGGAAGCCTACTTGGGAGACGATACCTAGGACCCCATAAAACTGGGGTCTGAATCAAAAATATAAGCAGCATAAATTTTACTCATGTGTCATAAAAAGATGTCTATAAAAATATTAATAGCAGTACTCCTTACAGATAATCAAATAGATTAAACAAAACAATACTATGTGGTACAGTTATATAATACAATGCTATATAATGAAAATGAACTTTTAACACTACCTCACAGATTAAGTTTATAAAGTATTAAGAAGCCAAATTCTAATAAATATATATTAAAAGCTTCCAATTAAATAAAGTAAAACACAACTTACTCTATGACATCAGAAAGAGATTCAGGAGTGGGTAGTGACTTGGATGCAAGTTTGAAAAGGCTTTTATGAATTCTCTATTTCTTGATCTCATCAAGGGAGTGTCACATGGGTGTGTTCACTTAGTGAGACTACATATGAACTATAATCTACCTTAATAAAACTTTAAAAATGTCAGCCTTCCTTTTCAGGTTCCCTCCTCTAGAACCATTTGAACAGTCTATCAATTAGCATTAGAGTACCCCATACTATAATTTCTCAACTTAACCTTAAATTACCAACAGCATCTGGACAATTCCCATAAATGATTTAAAAAATATACTAGATACCACTGTGACACTGAAACCTCTTGGGTATTTCTTCTCTTCAGAAGTCTTACTAGGATACACAGTAGAAAGTGGACACAAGACAGTTGTGAAGTCTGGATGAAACTGCAAATTAAACCAGCTCAGGAAACAGAATATTGACATTTCCTCCTGACAATGACCTTCACCCAAAGAATCAATTTCTTAACTACTCAGCATCATAATTTACTTAGGACAGATGAAGATATATGTTCCTTTCCCTCAAGCACTGAAAAAGTAGATCTCCCAAGGCCCCTAGACAATCCCATAAGGATAATCAGGAGGACAACTCAAAAACAGAAAGAATCAGAATAAAGTCCAAGATACTTGCTTGATGTTTAATAGCATCATAGAGTAACTGCCGTCCAGAAGGGCTATCAAAATCACCAACAATCCAAAAAGTTACTGGCCTAACAAAAGAATCATCTGTAGAAAAACAGAAATGGCAAATTAACTGAAAGAAACAGTCACACTCTATGTTTTGACACTTATTAATCCAAATAATTTCTGAAAACCATGCAAAAAATAAGAAAATGAACAGTTTAATAAAGCAAAATTAGTGAAATTTCTCTGTTAAAATAAAGGTAACATTCCACATGCACTGATCAACTATACTGTGGTCTGGGATTTGTTAGCATATAAATGAAACCTGTGGGTAATATAGTATAGTCTTTAATCTTATTAATTTGTAACTTTCTGAAATATTATTCTTTATAAACATTTAGACAAATTCTCTACACTGATAGTGTATTGTTACCCACAGGTTCCAGAAACATCACAAAGTGTCAATAAATTCTGAATAACAGTGGTCCCTGAAGCCCCATAAGATAACTAAGAAAAAGAATAGAACATTCTGAAGTATTGTGTTACCATAGATTTCCTTGGAGGACATTCCTGCACAAAGGCAAAAGGAAAAGAGTAGAAGAAAAGAAAAAGTCATTTCTATAATTAACAACCACTATGAAAGTAAAAAAAATTGAATGGTGCTAACAGGACCCATGCCTCTTTCTGCTCTTTATTCCTTCCACATTATAGGACTCTTCAGAAAGAATTCCTTTGAAGAACCTGGTAGAGTTATTGTGTAAAAATACACATACATAGGAAACCAGAAATCCTTTCAGGTAAAGACCACAGCAGGGATAAAAAAATGTCTTAAATGACATCCAGTGTTTTTCTTATTTGAAAGGATGGCAAATATGACGAGAGGGGAAAAGAATCTGTCTACCCTTAAAAAAATTCCTAGCGGGGCACTGGTGGCTCATGCCTATAATCTTAGCTATTCTATGGGGCTGAGATCTGAGGATCGCAGTTCAAAGCCAGCCCAGGCAGGAAAGTCTACAAGACTCTTATCTCCAATTAAATACCAGAAAACTGGAAGTGGCTGTGTGGCTCAAGTGGTAAGCTCTTGCCTTGAGCTGAAGAGCTGAGGGACAGCGCCCAGGCCCAGAGTTCAAGCCCCATGACCAACTAAAAAATTCTTTTGACACAGTGTTACCTTAACCAAATAACTGCTAAAAACCGGTTTAAAATTGTGTAAAGGCTTTTTTTTTTTTTAATTGGGGGGGGGGG